TGTGACCACTGCGACAAATTGTAATTTTATTAAAACGACAAAAACACGTCATCTAGTGTATTAATTTTTATAGCTTCATAAAAAATCTCGAGTCATTTGGTCCAATTTTAAATATGAACGGCAATGTAGATCACGCGTTCCGTGGCTCCTGCAGATTTTCCATAAACCAGTACCTCGTCGCGCATCCCGACGTAACGATATCGAGATTTTCTATCATTTCGCCGGATAATATCCGTGTAGACTCTAGTTAGCTTTTGGAATATTCTCAGTATCTATCGAGAAAATTGTCCTTCCTTTAAGTATCAATCGAACAGAGCGGGAACACAAAGCGAGAAGACGCGTGTTAATGGTGGAGTGAACGCGTCCCTCGTTAAAAACCGATCACGTAGTTCGTATCAACCGACTAATTGTTGATTATGCAGCCGTTTGTCTTGGCTCTCGCTATATACGCGATGACGATACGCCTAATAAATAATGTAGAGACGCGGTGGATCTCTAGTCTCTTTTCACGTGCTGGTCTGCTAGTCGAGGCACCCATTCGGAATTACATATGCACACCTGCGCTGTGTGTTTGAACGTTGTAAACCGACGTACACCTTACGCAGACGGTTGTATTGGTACCGTTGCCACCGGATCCTCCATCCCGTGTAAACGGCCTTAAGCCTCTTACGTCAGGTTTCCACGAGTGGGTACGCCTGATAATTACCAATTAGGGGGGAGAGGGGTGCCAATTAAAACGAGAAGCTTTCGATCCTCCATCTCTCTCTCTCTCTTTCACTACCACCACCACCACGAAGATTTACTCATCGCGATGAATTCCAGGTCTCCAGACTCGTGTTTGCACTACGTATCACCGTCGACACCGCTTCTTTGTTTAACCACGGACTCGGGGAAATTTACTTGGAAGCCAAGTTTAGTCATCCGCCACCGCGTACACGTACGCAATAATTTAACCGCGAGCTTAGCTTGTAATTGCGCGAAATGTATATACCTGTTTCCCGTTCGATATACACGCGTCTCGTCGATCATTCGCCAGAGGTGTAAAATAAGAGGGCGATTCGTAAACTTTGTCACCGGCTGTCAGCAAAACACACGATCGGATGTCGGATAGAATATCGTCCACTAATGAAATCTCAAATATTAGGTGGCATCGTATCTCGTGTTTTGCAAAACTTTTTCCCCTCCTCGTCGTCTCCTCTACAGTTTGCATCGTTGTTTCTTGCCGCGATACGATAAAAGCGATTCCGCGAAATCGAAGCCGTGGAACGGGAGAACAGATACCCTCAAACCGGCAAGGGGAGTAAAGTTCGATCGTTCGGCCTCGAATCCTTAAACGTCTCGTCAACGAAGCAACCAGTTAATTCGTTCGTTTACTTTCTTATTAATTATGCAAAACGAGGGAGCGAGTAGTAGAGGAAGAAAAGGGAGGTAAAATTGGAGGTGGAGGAGGCTGTTTCAATTTCTATTCGTCGCATAGTCGTTTCGAAATGGCACACAACCGGAAGTCGTCCTGTGTCGGAACATGCCTATTCCATCTACGGGTATTTCCTTTATGGCCGGCCGTTCCCTCCACCATGGGAACCCATCGGGACCTCGTCTTACACGAGCCGAAGAAACATAAATTCTGAAAAAGAAAAATACAAGAATTACCATGACGTTTCTGTCGCTTCCAACGATCCTTCGACTCGCGTTCCCACATTCTTACGCTTTGTACGCATGAAATTTTACTTTCTTTCTCTTCATCATTTCCATGCGGAATAATTCAGGGAAAGTTTACGGTCATGCTCGATCGGGGAATCACCCGAGGGTGTTTAGATCTGCGTGACGCGAGCAATTTGCGCGAAGGCAAACAATTTCATAGGGGTGCATGCATCGAAGCTCGTTTAGAAATTACCTGATTTTTATCTGCGACACGGTAGTTGTTTAGATTAAAGACCGTTGCTTCTAGTCTTTTTACAAATTGCCAAGCGTTGATGGAAAGAAATGACAAATATTTCATTAGTCTGACTGGTTTATTCTAAAGGAAAATATACATCTATGAAAGTGGTCTGTTTAATTAAAATTTAATTAAATCGATAAAAGAGATACGTTATCAAATTATCTATCGATAGTGATTAAACGGATAGAAAACAATTCAGTTTTTACGACGACCGAGACAATTAGGAAACGATCGAAGTTTCTAAACTCTCGATACAATTACAATTTCTGGAGGATTATAAAAACGATAAGAAGAGATAAATTCAATAAACACGTGGCATTAAACCCGATCGTTTCAGAAAAATAGGACATCGAGGAGTCGTTTATTTCTTCGGTATCTAATTGGGGGAACTGTTTTCTCAGTTATAATTGTATGCAGGTAGAAAATAAGTGCGCAGTAGATCCTGGTGGAATTCTCACGGGACCGAGGAGACACCTGGTTTCGTCGGGTTGGCTCCTCGACAGAGGCAATAGTCTCTCTCTCTCGGTGTAGTAATTAATAAGGGGATAATCGACGATCCATTATACTCGGGAGCGGTGACTCTCCGACTCGCGTAGTTCTCCCCTTGGCTCTTAAACTCATTTCCGCCCACGTGTAGTCGATAACGAAGACCGACTTCGAAGAAGATGTTCATCGATTACCGTCTCCAATATTTTCCACCCTTCTTCCATTGGTATTTCGAAGATTTTCTTCTTTCAGATATAAGAAGCGGTGTGTCTAGTTCAGGGGACACCGTTACGCGACAACGATCCTCGTCACGTTTCGTGAATTTTCTCGACGAAATTTTCTTCCGATTATTAAAGGGTGACGTAAGAGAAATAAGATGAGCGAAGGGTGTGCAGAGAGGTTGGCGGAATGGTTGGGAATAATTTTCTAAGACGACAAAACACGATAAAACAGCCGGTACGAGAACGTGAGACGGACATCACGTGCTCAATTTTCCGAAGGCGTCACGTAACACGCGTAGCTCTCTCGATGGTAGCGAGAGACCGACCCTTCTGTCCTATTTCAAACCTTCGGAAGCTAATTTCCCTGACAGAGACGTTTCCATTACGTTTCCCCTCCTTTAGCCGCCGGTTGGTCGTTGGCCGCAAAGGCGAGAGCTACGACAGAAGTAAATCAATGTAGGACATTTATATTGGCTGGAAATCGCTGACTCTCGCCACCGTAGACATCCCACCAGGACATATTAAGATTTCTGATCGGCCGCTTGCCGGACATCGGACATTTTTATTATTGCGTATCCCCCTACCTCGACCCCCTGCCTCGTCGCAGTGATATAAAACGTGAATTATCGTCCACCCGGTGTCTTCTCTCCTTTCCCCATCGGTTTCCTCTCGTCGCCGATCAATTTGTTAATTATTATCTAATATCTGGAACGAAAATTCCAGCGAGAAATCAAAGCAACAAAGACACAAGAGAGAGAGAAAGAGAAGGAACGCGCGTGTATCGACGAAGCCACATCGATGTCAAAGCAATTCATTTAAATTAATAGGTCCAGAGGCCGCAGCGTTTATCGCGCGATTAGTAGCAGCTTTTTAAATGCCTTTCTCTCTCTATCTCTCTCGCTGTTCGGCCGTTCGTATTTGTACATCCGTTATCGACTGCTGCCACGATAAACTCGATGCTTTTATCGCGTACAATTATGTGTCCCGTTCCTCCCTCGCGTTCGACGGATGCGTTCTGAACGCTCTCCAACATCTTTTGTTCTTACAAGTCAGATTTTGTGCAGTGCCTTCATTTTTTAACCGCCAATACTACCAATTTCAATCGAAGATCGATCCGCTTTGTAGCCTACGACATCCTCCTCGATCCTCCATCCAAAAACGTATTTTCGAATCGAAAGAGATAATTATATAAATTCTTTTATCTATGAGAAGATTAGTATCAGAAGGTCGTATTTGAACGCATCTTGAATTCTCGTTGGCGAACCGTTCCCTTATTGGTTCCCGACAACCCCACTCCTTCGACCGGTCAATCGGCGCGGTGACACGCGACCAGCCTGCTCGCAGTCTCGTGTCGTCTTTCCTCCGGTGTGTATCGGTGGTTCCCCTTTTCTTATTTACGTTTCACCTGAATCGCAGTCTGCTGGGATACAATTCGAACCGAACGCAACCGTTGTTGATTCATAGCCGAATGAAAAAGAAAGCGCGCGTACACAAAAGGGGTGATTCAACGAAAAGTTGGGAAAGTTCTGGTCCGGGGGGTGTATAAGTTGCTGGGATTCTTTCATGGCCCCCTCGTAGCCGTTAAATTCGAGCTTGCTGGCCATAATCCTCGCGTTAGTCGAAACTTGGTCGTGTCCCGCTCGTTTCGAGGCACTTTTCGTCGTTGCTCGCTGGCAGCAGGTGGAGGAAGGTGGTGGAAAAGTGGCGGGGCGAATGGAGAGGAGAGAGGAGAGAGCAGGGACAAAAGTTTGCGGCTGTGGCGGGAGGGGTAGAGTCTCGTCGAGAGGATAAGGGAAGCGGTGTGGAATATTTTAACATATATCACGGTGAAATTGGAACGAGGGTATGCTACCGCGAATCTCCCCTTCCCTGCCACTTTCCACCCCCGTGTTCACCCCTTCGGTCGGATCGCCGGTTCCGTGCTACGCTATACTCGCGTCCTATCACCGCGCGATCTGACTTTCTTCTTTACCAAGCTTCCCGTGTTTGGCCGATATGTTTGTCTCTCCTGCCGACTACGCCAGCTATAAAATGGTAAGAACGAGGTGTACCATTCGCTGGACCATTCCGTGTCTGCGTTCGAATCGTTGGAAATCACGTTTCTCTGTCGGTGTTCTTTATCGGTAGTCAGGAATGTTTATGCGGCAGGTAGCGAGATATGAAAATTATTTTTAAGATTGCGTTAATGAGATTGTAGTCGAAACAGGTGCCTCCTTATTGCAACACGTTACGATATGCAAATACGGAGCGCGTGTCAATAGTTCATGATTCATTCGGTGACGTTTCTCGCAATCTCGTCGACGATTCAGGATGTTCCTGTTTATTAATAACATCGATGCTTTTGTTTGTTACAGTATGGCTCGGACGAATTTGGCCAGGACTCCCCTAGATACACCTCCCCCAAAGCTGCGACCCTCTACGCAGATCCTTATTATATCGGTGAGTTAACGAGATTATTAAACTGATAGAATCTCTTCGCGAAAAGTTGCCGTTGAGTTACTAGTCATCGTCAGAGTATTTTTAGACTCGGTAATCGTTAATGATATATGAATTGTGATGATAAAAGTACGCGATTGAATGAAAGAAAATAAGGAGACAAAGAAGAAAAAGTGTTACAGAGAAAAAAAGTAAATGGCGTTCTAGCAACATTTATGTACCGTGTTCTCCTTAAACTAGTATCGTAAGTCGAAAATCTAGGCCGCTCGTTACCGGACGCAACTAAAAGTAACATCGAGCCAGTTCTTATGGATCGATCGATCGCTGTCTAACGATCCAACGTCGAGGTTGAACCGGCGCGCAGCGTGTTGGTAGTTCATTCGTGAACGTCGATCCCGCGTGTGCGCATCTATATCTGCTGGAAATCGCGTAACGATTCGAACGAACGATAAAAGGGACTTTACGATCGCAGTAATATTCAACTGTTTAACGCTTGCTCGTAAAATTCGCCGCTCTGCTTGTCGCGCGTAAAAACAATAACAATCTCTCGTTATTTGTTCGAGCTTCGGCGACGCCGGCGCATCGGAGTTGCCCCGTTGAAATTCGCGACTGCACACACATCCATACGGGGACAATGGAAAAAAAAGAAAGAAAAAGAGGGGAAAAAAAAAACGAGCGCGGAAAAGCCGCGTCGACGCGTTTCCCGTTGCACTATAAAGTTTATATCGCGGCTCGCCGTGTTCCTATTTTATGCCGATATAATTTAATCGCGTTTGCGAAACCGACGTCGCGATGCTATTTCGCTTCTCTCGCTATATTTGCGATGTTCTGTTTTGTTCGTGGCGCAGGATGCTTTTGAAACCGCGTCGATAAATTTACATGTTTTCGAAACTCGAAGAGTAATGGGAGGGAATAAACTCAAGTTCAACGGGATTCGAATTAGATTAATGATTAAGTTCTGTTGAATTCACGACAGAAGCGGTCTTGAGCCTTTGCTGACGCAACTTACGATTTAGAGTGTTGCTTTAGATAATATTTTTCCGACGTATCAGACACCTTTCGTTTAGAAATCTTGCTGTTCCGCGGCAATGAGTCACGATCGATTCGAATCGCATTGGAGCTGATTACGAGGAATACTCTTCAAATTATAAGGAATTAAAAAAAATACATAGATTTCATACCGTGTTCTCTAGAGATCGCGTAATCGAGTATGAAAGCGTACGAAACAGGTAGAAAAGTTTTCCCGGATGGATTACCGGGGTGGTAAATCAATAAAATCGGTAAAGTTTCCTGGTAAAGTTGTTATTAAAGATCAGAGGGTAAGGAGGACTGGTCGGGGCCAGCTTTTCGAATACATTCTCGGCTCGTGACACTCGGTAAGCGAGCGGAATACCTTATAAATGGTAGAAGGGACGGGGTTGGATGGGCGAAAAAGTTTTATCAGACATCGAATGCCGGTAGTTGGTAGAAACGGACGAGTAGTTTGGCTTAGTTTCCGTTCGTTCGTCGGGGAAACCTATGGCGGTGGAATTATATCAAGCAAAAGTATCAAGAAATACGTTCCCAGAGGCTTATTGCTGTTGTTTTCAACTGAAATAATGGCTCGCGTCGTTTACCACCCCTCTCGCTATATACCGGGTGTCTCGAGCGAATCAATGGAATCAGCAGTCTGGCGAAATTCCAACCAACTTCCCAGTCGATGGAACGTAATTACGCGCTGCAACTTGGGAATCGAATTTCCAAGCGATTTTATTTCACACATTTAACGACATGTTTTTTTCTTGATACATTTCACCGTACTAAACAACATGGCGAAATACACGTATATATACAGTGGGTCGCAAAAATATTCGCACACCTTTGTCTAGTCACGTTCTTAAATGAAAAGTCGCGATTTTCGGAAATTTTAATTACTTGTTACTTCTAAATGCATTTACCGATCTCGATGAAATTTTCAGCTTACACATAACTTATCTGAATCTACGAAAGACATTTTAAACTTTCATTATAGGCTCACATAAAACAGTTGAAAAATTACCCTTCACTATTTTTTTTTTACGATTTCAACAAATTTCAATTTTTTAATGGTAAATTAATTTGTATAGTTTCTCGAGAAATCGCAAGTCATTCGGTCCAATTTTAAATCAGGTATTTTATTTTAAACGGTGTGCGAATATTTTTGCGACCCACTGTATATACGTATCTATTTAATAATATTCGGTGGATAGCATTGTTAGAGCACGTGTACGATATTCTCTCTGGTCAGTGAACGCCACGTGCTACTATTTGTTGCTTTATCCTCCAACAACGCAAACATTCTCTTGCGGATTCTGTGTAGCAGAACGTGGATTACATTCTCGACTTTTCACAATAATTTAACCTGCTTCTGATTTCTATATTCTGTATGTTTTAGATGGGAACGCGGCAGGAACGGGTCCCGGTGATCCATGGACAGGAGGCGGTGGCGGCGTTCAGCCCCCGTACAGCGGATACGCACCCCCTCACCTGGCCCAACCAGCTTACCCTATGCACCTACCCCACGACCCCATGGTAAGCGACTCCTTTCTGTCCCAGCTACCTTTCTTTCTTTCTTTCTCTCGTTTCTCCACACGCACCCTCGTCGCTCGCGCGACGCACAACGATCAATCACTCGGTGACTACGCTCGTTTCTTCGGACTCGACGCTCCGGCAACTTCGTGATAGACACGAGGAACCTCCCTCGAAATTCTGTCGTTGGTCGGCCAGCTGGCGACTTAGCTTGTTCGATTAAATCCTTTCCCTCTAATCTTCGTCGGCTCGAAAGATCGATGCCATCGAAAACTGTCCCTTCGTTTTCTGAAACGTCTCCTCGGATTTTTAACGATCAGTTGCACGAAAGCTGCGAGTCTCGAGTCCATCTTTCGTTTGATTCGCTCGGTACAAGGTTTACACCGATGTTTACCAGAAAATTAACCAGGTAGAGTCGAGTCAATCTCGTCGATCTACCTTGTGTCCATCAGGTCGATTGAAATCATCAAAGCCAACGAGGTTGAGAGACACTGTTGACAGTGCTTGGTGTACTCGGAGCAACGTCAAATGACTCACTGGCTTCTATATATAGAACGACCCTCCCGCGCTACTCCGTGTTTCTAGTCAAGTGCAGCCTTCGTTTGATTTACACCGTTCATGGTTACCACGAAATCCTCCGGTTCACGGCACCCTGCCGGAGCCTCTTTTCTCGCGTTCGCCGGAGTCAGCAAACCGATCGCCCATTCGTACCCATCGAATCCCATTCGTTCGATGGATCTTTAATTGATTCAAACGAGCAGCGAGAAAAAAAAGAACTGAATTCCTGGACGAAATGAAAAGAAAGAAGAAAAAACTGGACCATCCGGTGGTTAGGTTCTTTTTTAGATCGCCCAAAGTGCCATTCGGTTTTAGTGTGGAATCCATGGATCGGTAGGAAAGGAGCATCTTAAAAGGAGATCGTGAGTAGGGAGAGGCTGGTCGCATTATGCATAATGGAGGTGAACGGTCTACAAAAGACGCAGCGTTCGGAGAGCAACCGAGAGCCCTCCGGTCGAAAGGTTAAACATTTACGATCCTGTGGTTTAATGACCCCACTTCCGAGAAAGCTCCGGTGTACCCTCCGCCACCTCGTCGTCGAAGAAAACTCCCTTTTGTTGGACTGCGCGTTCCTCGCCGCTGTTCCTTCCAGATTTCCGACGTCTGTCCGGTCGAAAAACACCCTGGCGACAGAAGGGTAAAGGTGCTCTCTACGGTTTAGTTATCGCTTCGTTCTTCTGTTCGTAAAACGAACAATTAACGATGCTTCACGGTCGTGAAATCGAGCGAGGGCCGCGGTCGCGTGCAACCTCTCTCCCTCTAATTTGTTGATAAATACTCTTAGCTGGCTTCGAGACGAGACGATGCTTTAAAATTAGACGTTTTACGAGCGAGCTTCAGTAGGTGCGAGCGACGGCTACACGCCACTAAAACGTATCCGATATCAAAGCCGTTCTGGACTCTGGTCCATTATGAACCGGGCACGGTCGAATTTAAAAGGTCGTACGAGTCGTCAGTCAGTCGAGAGCCATTTCGCGTCGAGTACGAGTAGCCTTAAAGAAAATCTTTCCTTGCATCTTTCGACGGAATCTTATCTTTTTACCTCTTTCCTTTTAGCATCTTTGTCGTTGATGTTGCGACACGCGTAGACACTGTTGCAGATTCTTTTCTTTCAGCTGTTTTGTTTCTTTTAAGCGGACGGTGTGGATAACTGGGTGAGACCAGCTGTAATTTTTGAACGATTTCAGGCGTATTCGGCCATGTCGCCGAACGGAGAACCTGCGGCACCGATTCTGGGCTCGGCGGTGACCAGTGCGGCCTCACTGCCACCGATGTCGACATTCCGGGGTAGCGGTGCGGTTGCGGCGAACAGTGGTACCGGTGCACCGTCCCCGGCATCCTTGCAATATAGTCATAGTCCTGGAGCACCGACCACCGCACCCTCCGCGCCCAATCCTCCACCTACGACCAATCAACCACCCGCGACGGGGGATAACCTTGGCAAAACGCTCGCGTCTGTAGTAAGCACCAGAGTAAGTATCAGTTTGTTTATCAAACTTTGAAGCTAAGATAGATTTCCACAGGAAATGCTTCCAATCCGATATACTCGACGGCTAACTTATCTACTTCTCGATCACGCAGATCTACCCCACGGACCAATCAGTATCGAGTTACAGCAGTAACCCATCGACACCAGTCAGTTCGCCTCCACCTTTGACGGGTTCGGCGCCAGGTTGGGCACCAGGTGCAGCGCCGGTATCCCCGCACTTCACGGCGGATCCCAATCGTGGAACCATTCACATGGTATGCATCTATGCTTTCCAGCCAACGATTCGCTCCATTCGTCCTTACGATTTTATTTACCGATCATTGTCCGGCTCGTTGCCAAGCGATCGATGTATATTCGAACGTAGACACGCTTCGTTCACCTCTCTTACGATATTTCATCGTTTGCACCGTGGTGACACTCGTTGAGAGAGAGAGTACCGTTTGTTATACACACGCACTGATTTTGTATTTCGTTCCGGGGAGGATCGGGATCGTTGAGAGATCGAACAACGGCAACGTGAATTACAACCGCAGGAAGATACAGAAATCATCAGCTTCGGAGTATCGCACTTTTGCACTTGTATCTGGAATTCAGAATAAAAGATTGACCTCTAAACTCCAGCTTTTGGATAATGCACAAAGTAGCATGCACTCGATGCACCGATAATTCACCGTCTACTGTGTTCGTCCACGTTGCAAGTTACTTTGCTCCCGTCCTCCCCTTGCTCAATTATTCAAATCGATCATCTCACCTTCATTTTACATAATTGTTTTTTTTTCTTTTTCACCATTCGCCCCTTGTTTGTTGTGAACGTTGTGTTGACTTGGTTGTTTTCTCTTTTTTTTTTTGGTTTTGTTGTTGCGTTGGTGTTGTGTGTGAAGCCGGCGCCTGAACAGCAGAGGCTAGACGATGCCATCGGCTTCCTTCGCGACCATGCCGAGGTGAGGATTGCCGATTTTCAGTTCTTCTTTTCTCGCCATCTTACATTTGTTTCTTGTTCAATCCCCCTCATTCCACTCTCATAACCACTCAACGCATGCTCTTTCATTCCATACGAACTACATATGGATAAACTGCCGTTGATATCTATGTTTTTTACTAACAACTGTGACATTTTCAGCGCGCTCTTTGGAACAAATCTAACTCTTTCTCCTTCGACTCTAACGTTACTTCCTTGCAGATGCTAATAATCTTGCTATTTATAAGCCTGTATAGTCTACGCGTTTCTTTTTCCAACTTCCATGATATCCACTTTCTTTCACTCTATGAACAGTTGTACCAGTCTGAAAGTAAGACTCTTCGAGAACGTATCTTTCGCGCTGGTACACCTGCCAAACTGAAAAACTGTTTCGAGCTGTTGTGTAATCGAGTCGAATTTCTGGTATTCTGTTGGTACAGGGAACGCGGATGGAGGAACGACTGGACGATGCCATAAACGTTCTGAGGAACCACGCGGAGAGCCAACTGGGCCTTCACCTGGGCCCCGTTGGTCCACACGGTTCCATCTACTCTCACACATCACCACCGCAATTGGACCATTTGGTAAGTCGATGATTCTTTTGAATTTCAAATCTGATAACGGTAAGGAGGAATAGTCTATGATGATTTTCATCCTTGCAGACGAGTCCACATCCTGCGGTAACAGTGACGCAACCTCAGGGCTTTTATTCTGGTCTCACGCCAACGCCCGACACGGACGGTTCCATCAAAATAGAAAAGTTACCTGTGACGAATGCCAGTAAGTTGAAAATGATCCTTCCCTCCTTCGCAGGATCATCGAAGGATTCATGGAATAGAGGAAAAGTCTTCGACAGAGTTCGATAGTTAGCGAACGGGATTCGTTGAAAAAGACTATAGTGGACTACAAAAGGTAGAAGTGTCAATGAGCCTTGACAAAGTAGTTAATCGGAATGGCGTTGTTCTATTCCTGGCGTCGCATCATCAGGTAAACACTTTTTCCCATGAGCAGGCATAAGGCAGAGAAAGAGAGAGAAAGAGTGAGGAAAAAAGAAAGAGGAGTTCCCAGGTGTTCTACGGCAAAGTTAGAGCCCGATAAGGAAACATTAGATAAATCACGACCGAGTAGCTACTACTCTTGCACCGTTGTCGTGCCTTTATTATTCCTCGAGACCTCTGTCTTCGACTCTCCCTCTGCTCCCTGTCTCCGTTTCTCTTTGTTTCCCTCTCTGTCACGTGTGCGCCCCTTAACAGTGAACGTTCGTAATCCTTCTCTAGTTGTCTAATGGAATGCGCAAGTTTTCCGTGGATCCTTTTGCAAAGAAGCGCTCTTTTCTCTCCTCGGTCGAACCATTTTTGGCGACTGGTATTCAGAGCGTACGATTTTTCTCCTCTTCGACCGAGAATCGTATTGGAACTTACTGCTCGACAGTAGGTCCCCGATGCTCGATCCATATAATTACACTTTTTCCTATCCTTCTTTCTCCTCTTTTCCTTTCATCGAGGGAAAACACATTGGCCCGACTTTCGCTGATACATCGATAGAGTCACGGACGTTTGCACACAATCGCGAGACTTTTAGGGAAACTCGAGTTAACAGAGTCGCGAAACGTGGTGAATTATCAGGCGAACGGAGTGCGTTTAAGGAAAACGCTTGAATCGGTGTATCAGCTAGTTCGTATTACGCTTCCTGCTCGTAATTGGATGCTTTTCACGGTTTCGTGACTAATCAGCCTGCCCAAAGTGCAAGGATAATATCTACCGTGTTCGGTGAAGGACGTAGTGCTTCCGGTACGGACACTTGGCCTCATTCTTTCTCGTTGATCTCTCGCGACAGTTGGACGGCGACGATTTCCTCGCGGTCGGGGAAAAATTTTCTCTTTATTCCATGAATGCTAATCGATGATAGATGTAATCGACGATTGGCGATGATGTTAAATAGCAGTATTAATAATGAACAGAATACGTCTCTTTAGAAAAGAGAAAGGAACCACCGGATAGTAGCGGCGGTGAAACGAAACCTTCGAGCAGCGAGTTGGCGGCAGCAGGTGTGATCGGCGCGGCCACGGTCAATTCTACGTCGCAAGGAAAAGGGACGAAGAGATCGCGTAGATAGTAAGTATATCCTGGATGTTTCTTCTGTCCGGGATCGAAGCGTGTATCATCGTTCGTTAAACGACAGTAGTGAAATCGCGTCGATGAAGCGGTAAAAAAGCTTACAAGGTGTGGTAACTTAGAGGATGCAGATGTAACATTCTCATCCTCTGTTGTCTGTCTTGTATTGTATTTCCGTCGACGAAATCGTTGTTTCTCCTTGTATTTGTACATTGAAGACTTTGACTAACCGATTTTATTCAAACTACCGTTGTTCGAGCGCTGACGAAGACTGCGACGATCCCAGCACTAAAGCGGTGCGCGAAAAGGAACGTCGCCAGGCCAACAACGTGCGTGAAAGGTTAGTGAACACACGCAGTACGCACTCCAGTTGTATTATTCGAGAGTCCCTTCGATATTTCCTTCCAAATAAATCCACGACTTGGTATCCCTCGTCGTACGCATGCCCGATCCAGACGCGTCAAAATCGAACACGAACAATTTCAGTAAAAACACTCGTATCACCTTAGTGGATTCGTATTCTTGACGAGCCAAGTGGCATGCTTACGTTCCCTTCACCACAAGGCCCGTATTTTAGCGTGAAAATTAAAATGTTTCTGGTTCAGGATAGAAAATGATGCGAGAGCAAGCGAAACGTCGACACCTATCGCGTGCTCGCCTTCCCAATCAGTTTCATTTTAATTCTAGCCGCGATCCGTTGTTCCTTAGGCATGCTACAATTTAATAAATCTTAGAAATCTCTTTGTGTCACTGAAAACATTATTGCATCGAAACTCACGACCATCCTCCACTATCATCCTTCTCAACACTCTCGTCAATTCCTTTCTATTACTAATTGCTGTCTTGATTTCTCGTGCAACCATGTGTCGAAGATGGTAACCGAACATTCCTCTTGTGTATAATAAAGATACGTTTCTTTCAGAATTGATCACCATTCAAGGACTATTTCCTTCCCCCTTTTTGTTTTGTTTTTAATAGGTCCTGATATACATGTCCCGAATCATTCATTCGCCGTTCCTTAGAGATCACCCTAAAAACGATCAGTGTTCTAGGTAACAGCACGAAATCGGCTCTCTTACTATCGTTCGTTTTTCTTCTCTGTGCAAAGAATACGGGCCTTCGAGCGTGGAAAACCCGATTTCTCTCCATAACACAACCACAAGTCGATCGATCGGATGGTCTGCGTGTGTTCAGTCAAACAAGAGATTCTCTTCTTCTCCTTCATCTCGCTCGCTCTCTAGTGTCTGCCGGTTTTTCTTTGCTAATTTCCTCGACGCGATATCGATTTCACTGCTGTCGAGTCATTGCACGTTTCGATCCTTGGGCAAAGTGTATCGGCTGGGTCAGGTGATTAATCGAGTATTGTTATTGCGCAACTGTTGTTCGAGCGCCGAGGACGAGGATGACGATCCCGACGTGAAGGCGCAAAGGGAAAAAGAAAGGCGACAGGCGAACAATGCTAGGGAAAGGTAAGACGAGAAAAAGCAGTGAATTGATCGGGAAAATTCACGATCCTGGTGTCCATCAGCCGATTCGAGGGGAAGTTTTGGCCCGTATTCTATGTATATCGCGAGAAATAAAACTCGCCCTTTTACCTTTGTTTTTCGATCTCTTTTGTGAACGGTGATCAGCTCTCTCCTGCTATTACGTAGAGTGATATCTTGCTTAATCGAAGCATTTCGATTCGATCTTTTGCGATCGCGAGGTGGTAACCGAATTTTCTCCCTCCAGGATACGTATCAGAGACATCAACGAGGCTCTGAAAGAGCTTGGAAGAATGTGTATGACCCACCTGAAAACGGACAAGCCTCAAACGAAGCTCGGTATCCTAAACATGGCCGTCGAAGTGATCATGACGTTGGAACAACAAGTTAGAGGTAAACGAATCATTCTTTTAACACGTTTCACTTTTATCTCCCGTTTTAGAGATAACTTTCAGAGCAACCTCTTTCGAATATTCTCCAATAATGATGTTGTCGCGTTGTTTCGCAGAACGAAACCTGAATCCAAAGGCAGCATGCTTGAAGAGGAGGGAAGAAGAAAAAGCAGAAGATGGTCCTAAACTACCCGGACATCTCGCAGCGCACATAGCTCACCCACATCCTCATCCCCACGCGCATTCTCAGCCACCTTTCTCCGCGATGCCTGTAAGTAATCGCGTCGTTCGAGGAGAGGAACGATTACACGAGTGATTGCTTTGTTTATTGACCAGAGGGAATCGTTTGTTTCAGGGTCCACCACCGCCGCTTCAGCACAATCCGTCGCAGCCGCAGTAGCAGCGGCTCAGTGGCGGTGTGATCCTGTGTTAAAGGGGTAGATACGGCTTAAAGTTGTCATAGTTTTTTGGAACTTTCGCGGGACTTGCACATACAGATAGGACATTTTTTTCCCCCTCCCCCTACCCTGTCGATCGTACACCGATGGTGTACGAGAGAAAATCGTGAGGGGTATTAACGCGGCGTTATACAGAGACACAGGTGCGCGCGCGCGTGTTAACACTACTCGGAACGTAATTTCATTTACGTTGAATCGTGGCGAGGTTGAATCGCCGATGAAAAGGTATCGAAGAGATGATGCCGTTTAGAAATATTGCTGTGCGCCAAGTGCAGCGCAGAACACTGTGTGCCGTATATGATTCAGATGCGAGAGAATCGCGATAATATCCTAGAGTTCTCCTTTAGCGAGCCTCTCGTACAGGCCGTACGAGGCAAACGGAGAATAATTTCTGTATGTCTATTGCGAGCGTCAAACGAGATAATGAGTGAGGAAACGAGCGAATGAAACGAGAGTACGAGATTGGAACGGGTGCTTTTTAAGAGGTATCTACCCCATCCCACTCCCCGAAGGCGGCTTCAAATTATTTTTATAAATAGCGAGAAGACAAAGGAATACGTGTAGGAGATGTTTGCAGTAATTCCTACTCGACGGGTTCTGATTGAAATTCAAGACATTTTTAAGAGATCGTTTGGTGCATCCGTTATCGCTCGATGTTCCTCCTCCTTTGTTTACGTCCATTCTGAATATCATTCACACCTGTCATTTTATTCTTTTTCTAGTATAGTACCTCTTTATTGCCACGAGATCGTTTTTGCGACAATTTGGCCCTCCAGAAAGAGAACCCACCTCGCCATCCTTACGCACAACCTCCCAGTTGTTAAAATGCACGACAATCCGTTATCGTTTCAAACGGAATCCCTCTAAGGTAAGTCTGAAATTTAATTCGAGTACCTCGATTGCCGCGAGAATTTTCAACTCGTTAATTGTATATTTTTCTGTTCGACTGTTGTTTCACTGTTCTTCGTGATATTATATCGAATTTGCAATTTTATCGTGTCGAGAAGATTTGGTTTGATAAGTTCTGACTGATGGGTAAACTGTACCCTGCTGTTAATTGAATAAGCAATTAATTATTCTTTGTTGATAATCGTAGTCGTGAACTTAGTTCATTATAATGTCCTATTTATCAAAATCGAGTTGCTTCTTGATACATTACCTTTTATGTACATATGTTTACTTGTGACGCCGTACAGCTGCTCCGTTTTCCTCGTGACTCGTCAAGTTTTTATTTATAAAATTTATTTAAATAAATTAAAATGCAAGGGCAACTGCATGGTCGTCGAATCGAACTGCGTTTTTGTTTAAGAACAAAATATCCCTTTTGACTTTTAATCGATCAGAGGTACGTTACACCTTGGTACGTACACACGATATTAACTTTTTTTATATTTCTCTCCGTTTCCGTTCCACTTTTCCACATTACATTTTAATTTCACGAATGAAAGGTATATCGCAGCCTGTTGCGATCTCAGAATTTTAACAAAATTTTCGTATTCTTAGAATGAAACGTTGCATATCAAAAATAAAAAGGAATGGATGAACATTTCGTGTGCGTGTAAGACCGATCTCAGGAACACAGTCAGAATCTTCTAATTAGATATAAAAGCGCGTAAGAAAAGTCATGAAATCGTGCATTGAATTATCTTTTAACGAAGCTTTGATTTTGATGTGAACCGGTTGAACAGAGATTGCTACAAATGTCTCCTACAATAATAACGACAATAAATAGCTCGTAAGCCCGTCTAAGCTAGGCACACCTGTCTATAGTCTTAGATAGTCAAAAGTGGAAAAGCGAAATAAGGTGAAGAGAGTGCGCCAACAGTTCGGTTCGAGTTGTAATCGACGATCGCGATTATATATAAAAGAAAAAAAATGAAATAAGGTGTTTTTACGCGAACGTGTTATATGTGACATTTTTTCGGTCACCAATTATTTATATATGGTATTAGTTACGTTTAAGACTTTCGAAATCGTTCTTGAATTTTAGTTTAATCCTTTTTCTTTTCGACTATTCAGGCATACTTACTCTTCCGTTTTTTCTCTTTACTATTTTCCTCCCTCTTCTTAAAGCGTATTATACAGATTGTTGCGAGAGTCGAGACCGGTTGTCTTTTTTGTTGATTCTCGTTATAGAACGACAAGATCGCATCGATCGTTTGAATTGAAAATTATATTATATAAGCGATCCACGAGTTGCAGAGTTTTCATCTTTTTTTCCCCCCCTCGCCCCCCCTAGAACTCTGAAACTCGCGGTTCCTATTTGGATCGATGCGATCTTCTCGCATCGATCGTGTATCACGCGTTGCGTTAAATAAAAAGAAAAAAAAAAGAAGCATATCGTTGAAAACTTGGCTAAGCAGAATGCCGCTAGGTTTATTAAATTGACAATTAATGATCGCGCGGTCGAACGACGACGCTGATGAGAGAGCCCAGGTTTGCCCGGGACACGATTGTCGACGAGTGAAATCACACGTGTATATTAGATCTAACGACATTATTGTATAATATGTAATTAAACGAGAAGTGTACGTAGGTCTGGCGTGGCTAGTTCGCGTGACACCGGGCCTTAAATGAAAACAGAAGAAAAGAAAGCAAGAAAGGTGAAGAAAGGATAATCGAGAACGATCGATCTTTCTGACAAGCAAGCGATTGTTAACAGAACAAGACGCGACTCTATTAACATCGATGAAGCACGAGCTGAATATTATACATATATTTGAAAGAAAGAAAGGAGAGAGTGGGTGAGTGAATGCGAGAGAAAAAGAGAGATAACGTGTGCGTCGAGAGAGCGTTTCGTTTGAGAAAGAAAAAAATGTATAATTATCACTAGTAATATTATTATCACTAATAATATAATAAATGTGCCATTTTTTCCATAATCACGGCGTTGCCTGATTGTAGCTTTCGTTGATCATTATTATTTTTCTTTTCTTTTTTTTTTTTTTTTTTTCTTAATTTTTGTTTCATTTTCGTCCAAGCTGTTCACAAATTTTTCTTTCACTTCTCTTCTCGGTTGATTTTCTTTTTATTTTTTTTTTCTTTCTCACTCGAGCTTCCGTTTGTACATTACACGCTCCCCAGTATTAGACGATACACGAAGAAGAAGCACCAATATCTTACGTTTTGTCTTTTTACTTTTTAGATTGCGTCTCGGTGTAAGTTTTGTTCTTCAGCCGCCTAATTATGCTTAGATACGAACGTATACATAGTGTAGATACGTTTAGTGTTTAAGACATACTTTTAATTGCCGGACAAGTACAGTGTTAGCTGACTGTATTCGCCCTGGTCGCTTCTAACCATTCAGCTGTAAAAGCTAATACAAATGTCGACCTATCAAGGTTTGTAATACAGATTTTCAACGTTTTCAGGAAGCGTGCTTTTCATACTTTCCTTTATCGTTATATTTTCTAGTTTGTTTACAGACACTCGATAGTCGAAGGTATAACTTCATTCGACGAATTGCTTATTTGCAACCAACTGCTGAATAATTTAACACGTTTCATCATTGCATTACGAATTTCACACGAACCTGTTTGACCTTCGACCTTGTCACTTGCGTCAACTGCTCAATTACGCTCTAGAAACAGCCTGTTGTTTAAAAGTCGACGATAAATGGAGATTGTGTGGTAAGGAGGTAAGATAAATTATCAAAGAAAATTTGTTGAGAATTCGTTTAATGTTTCTCTGGTACAAAATAATCGATAAAAACCACTTGGATCGCGAAGTTCGATTAGATATTTCAGATCTAAGTACGTTCGTTTAATTGATATTCCAATCAAATTCGCGTTCATTTCTATTCACACAATCAATTTTATCCAGTCACCTTTAGGTGATAATTGTCACGAGTCCAAATCCACACACACACAAACGCACACGTTGTTTCATACATAATTTTAAGTCAGTGTCTCTTTTCAAGCCGATGAAAGCTTTCTTTTTAACGTGCAGTACGCTGCGAATCTGAATAAGACGTAATTGCAAATCAATACGACGATGTCGATCCAATACTTGCCGTCCGCCAATGTCAGGTCTGTCATCATCAAATCGGGCACTCGATAGTGGCAGTAGTTCTTCGGGCAGAGCAGTTTCTCGCGACCGAAACCGTACACAGAGTGCACGAAAGCGTGCATAGCGTATTTGAAGTAACTCAGGTAACTGACATAATAAAGTACGACAGGCATGTGGCTGTAAAGTGCCAAGAATCCAGCCAAAGTCAGCATTGTGCAAATGATAATCGCTCCTATAAAGGTGCCATTTATAGGATTCGTTAGGCTTCCTATCAAAAGTCCGAAACTGTCGGATATCATCGTCATCAGGATCGATACTGTAAGGAACATAAGGAACCTGTTCACGTCCAAAGGTTGTCTACTGAGAAAATAAGACGGAGACGTATATATAAAAGCATACGCCACTTGTATAGGCAGGCTACATATCAACGATGCGGCATAGTAGGTCCTCAACTGGTACCAATTGTTGAACCTTTCCTTCTTCAAGGTCGAAAATTCCGAAGGGAATTTCAGCACAGCCGGCATCATACTCGTGTAGCATAGATAAACAGCTGAGACTAGGAAGAATCCGACGTTCATGATCGTCTTACTGCCGTTATCGCCAGAATCGGTGTACAAGAGACCGAGTAAAATACCCACTAGTAGATGAAGAACCATCTTCAGGTGAGTGGTGGTCCAGTCTCGCGACTGTTGAACGAGGCAACGATGCAGCAGAACGAAGAATTTCTCCGTTTCCGATGGTGGTTGAATCAACACCGTCGCTTTGTTTTCGTTTATCTGCATCGTCGTTTCTTTCTTCAATGTCTGCGACGCGTCTGATCGCCAGGATCGATCGTTGCTACTCGCTAGTTTGGCTAACTGATCGTTGTAGTCACCGTACTCTTTGCTCACTGCCTCTATCATGTAATCGGCAGGATTGTGATACTTGGGACAGTTGAGACCGATGCTGGCGAAATAGGCTATCGTGTTATTGGTCGCCCCTTCGTACATGCATTTACCTTCAGCTAGGAGGTAGACATTGTCGAAGAGCTCGTAGACGACGGCGCTAGGTTGATGGATCGTGCAAACGATCGTTCTACCAGCTTTCGCCAGACTTTGCAATAATCTGATGCACTGATGGGAGGAAAGAGCATCGAGACCTGTCGTTGGTTCGTCGAGGAACATCACCGGTGGATTGTCCACCAGTTCTAATGCTATGCTTAGTCTCTTCTTCTGTCCACCGCTCAACTGGCCGCACCTGGTCTCCTTCGTTTTGCTTAAATCTAAGTTATCCAGAACCTCGTCGATCACCATCTCTTTGCCTTTTCGACTGAGACTTCGTCCGATCTTCAGCTCGATCGCCGTCCACATCGTCTCGTAGACGGTGAACAAAGGACGCAGTTTGTCGTCTTGTTGGATATAACAAGACTGTTTCCTGTACTCGTTCCACGTGTGTTGACCTTCCGTTCCGATGTAATTGATCTGTCCTTTCCATTTACTTTTCTCGAAGCCTGTCAGGATGTTCAGCAAAGTGGATTTACCGGCTCCCGAAGGTCCCATGATGGCTGTCAGTTCGCCGGACTTGAATGAACCGCTGACACCTTTCAGGATCTTTTTCATAGGTCCTCGGAAACCGGGTCGCGCCTCGTACGTGATGTTAGAGAATTCAATGTCGATCGACTGAGCCTTCGGCAGGCTCAACAGTACCACTCGTTGATACATCTCGACCCGAATGAACTGTCTGACCCAGTAAAGACTAAGATCACTAGCCGCGGACGGATCACTTGCTCTCTCGCTGACGAAACGTCACTTAAATCGTGCGTTATCTGCACTTATATATTATCGGTCGGTTGCAAACGATTCTCGACGAGCTTTCAAACGGGGTCAGTTGTTCGCGCAACAGAAATCATCGATCCTCGTCAATTCTCCAACTTTTCTTTCATCCGTCAGCTTCTCGTTTTCAATCGAACGTATCGCTTATCACTTTCCAGTCGACGATCTTCGTTTGTCCATGTCTCGTTTGTTCAATCGCAAAGCTTTCGATAATTAGAAATGAAAGAGCGTCGATAGAGTTAACCCGAGTGACACGCGTACGCATACACTCACGACTCTTATCACGGATTTTTGTCAAATCGACAAAATCGTTAACCTACTTTATATTCCGATAGATACTGGTAGACCAAACAAATCGCGACATTTTTCCGTCGATTTCTTCGATTCGCTTGCTTCTCGTCAACTTTCCGTCAGGATTGGAAATCGATCTTTCCGTGACACTTATCCGATCTGCAAAAAGAATTGAGACGTTCTTTATATTTATAGTTGTATGTTTTTCATATAAGGAAAAATGATCATAATGGCGGTAGATAATCAGTAGGATGATCGACATATTAATTGCTTGTTTATTGTCACATTCGTGTTGGATCGTTGAAAATTTTCTAGATTCTCTGCTTATTCAACGAGCAATTTTAAGCTATCTTGTTTTCTATCGCAATCGTGTAGAGACAGAATTCCCTGAATTCTTATCGGTATGTCTATTATTCGCTGCACGATAGCCCAAATTCGTTCGAAAGTTGAACAACACATCGCTTTTAATAAACGTAATTAATTAAATTCTTAACAGCAGTGAATAAATGCTCGCGAGAATTGATAAAGAACGATGCGGAGAACAAAAAATTGACTATGCGGTATTGATAGTGTCGAGAAATGGAAAAAAACAAGGCGTTGATCGGTTTGCAACACAGGAAGCATAAATTTTTATTTGTTCGATAAACGGCAACCATTTCATGACCCCAATATAATAGCGATTCTGTTGAAAAATTTTCTATCTCCTTTCCTTTTGTTTTTTTCCAATCGCTCGTTGAAAAACTTTGTTTCGTAAGTGTCTCGTAATAGATCAAGAAACGAGCAATACGGTAAGCTATAAAGATAAAATTGTGCAAATGATATGTACCATTGCGTTAATGCAATTCGTAAAAACTAATCAATTGATTCATTGGTGACACGAATTTGCGTGTCACCGCGGTTACAGCGTCGGCGTTGGCAGAACCGATAAATTTAATTAAAATCAAACGAGGAACGCTAATGAGTATAATTCATGGTGATAAAGATTCCATTCGTTAATCGTTATGTGTATAAAATATTCAACGTATGAAATGATGAATTAGCGAAGAAAAAAGACTTTATCGACAATACTGATCAATTAAATCATGATTCAATATTGAAACGGCAATAACATGTCTTTTCTATTATCCAATCGTTAGAAAATGAGTTGGCGTAGCGAAAAAAATTGTAATAGTCGTTAAATTCGTTAAAGTCGTATTATCGTTTCTAGGTAATCAACTGTTCTTCGTAGTTCTATTTCCGTTCTGTTCGAGTTACGCGTTTGTATACTTCATAAACGAATTCATGGAACATTCCTCGTTAATTTATTTCTGTCTTGTTATCATTCGGCAAACATTTTGTCAACTTACGCGACATGCAAAACCGAACAGGTTTTGCACCAGTGTTTTATATACGTATGGTCTTGAAACGAGAACAATAGTTTGCCTTGAATCAAACAGAGTTTACTAGAAATTAACTTCGTTTTTAACTTTCACTACTCGTTCAGTGCCATGAGAATTGCTAGAGCGATTTCACAGATTTAATGCAATCTTTACGTTAATAAGACAAGGTACCGAATGTTTAAATTGAACAATTGAATTATATAAGTGTCTTGCTATTTACGATTAATTTCATTGCGAAAACTCATTAATCTGTTGTTTTTACTTTTCTCTTATCATTTTCTGCAACGTTTGTATTTTTTTCGTTAACCTTCCGATTCCTTGAATCTGTCTCATTCCCACATTAGGAAAATTGCTTTTCCTACGTAAACGTGAATTGCATCGTTCGTTACGCAATACCGGTATAATGACTATAATCATTTGTTATATGAGATAGTTAATTTAGTTGAACCGTTGCAAAATCAATCGCGTTGTATAACATCTGTCACAGTTTCTTCTTCTCCATATAATTGCTGTTATTGTTAAACAATACAGTCAACTACCAGCCAACGATATTTTTATCCAAAGATAGAAACACATTCGCCGACGCGCAACCTTGATGTAAATTTGAAATTCTACAGGAAGAAGGAACTCGGTTACTCGTCCAACAGGAGGAAAAAAGAGGAAATGAGATATGAGATACTTGTTCGTCGTTCTTTTTTTTCTCAGTAGAAACAAAAACGAGCAAGGGTAATTGCATTTTGCAATTGTAATGGACAAACAAGAGTCGTGATTACACGAACCTACCTGTGTTTATCGTAGACTGTTTACGTCAAAATTCACGTAAATTTCCATATGCAATTGCGTTAACTGTGGTTATGAAGTGCTTACGAAAAATGCCAACATAGAAATACGAAAAAAAAAAGCAATGTAAAGAGTAAAAAATGTTTGCACATCGAGCATTTTAACACCATGAATTACAATAAACGTTTATTGAGTCAGAGTAATAAAAAATGATTGCATGTACTTCGATAGGTAATTAAATAATTTTCTACATACTAGGTATAATTTGGTCATTTGTCAAAGTTACAGCTAATTGTAACAAGTTGCTGTGCACATTGACGTCTTCACTATGATAGTTTATGTTAATTGCAAACTTTTAGCGCATATAAACGCATGTAGTCTGAGACTACTATTTGCCCGAGGTATCATTTAATTACAAATTAACCTACTAACAAGTTGCTTTTTCCTCCAGCTAATTTCACAGTTGGAGAAAAAAAGCAGATCCTCCGACTTTTTTCAGCACGGATGAATTGAAACAAAGTGGCAATTCGTGTAGTTGTAATTGATGTTCAAGTTTTTTTTTTAAATATTAACACTGTATTACGTTTGACTTTGCGCGTCACTGCATACCCTGTGTTTTGAAGAAATTTCCTTTCCTCAACTCTATTCATGAGTCGAATCTCGTTATTCCATCTCGGATGCTCGACACGAGAGGAACGGTCGTACTTTCCTTGGGTTCTGTTATTATTTCGTCATCGTCGTATAAAATTTTCATGAAAGCATACTTTTTTCGGGTCAGCTGTTAACTCGGCATTGAGGTGCTTCTTGTTTGGCTACCTCATGTTTTTAGTTTCTAACAGCAGGAAGAGAAGATGTGTCGTTCACCTTGAATTATCAAATTATCATTCCACAATCCTTTTCTAGAATTTCATTTCATTTAGAATTATTCACGAGTTCTTTTTATTCTTTTTTATGTTAATCTTTGTCTGTTCTAATTGATTATCATTCTCGACCTAGTTTTGAAGTCGACCAACATTTGGTCACGATAGATATTACACTTATTACATCTTTTTTTCTGAAATCTTGCAGTCATGATTATTTTAATATTCATATTAATTATAGTTGAATATCTTTTTTTTTTCTTTTCATTCTCTAATTGATATTTGTAAATTAAAGCCGATGCCAACGATGGTTGTTTACTTAGTGTGCACAAAACACGTCTATTGATATCAAGATTGCAATTACTGTTATTAGTTTCATGCATTTAACACTTAATTGCGTTTTTCTTCGCTATCGCTGTTATCGTTAATCTACAGTAAACTCTTTTGCAACAAACAGCTGAGTTATGACTACGTTATGCTTGTAAATATTATAATTTGTACAGAGTTGCGGTTTTTCATTCAATTAATGCAATAACACGTTTATGTCACGTGTCGCTTCTCTTGTTAAAAATTGATCTCAGTGAATTTTATTCGAGTAATTATTATATTTCGTATAGCGTTTTTCGATTGGCGCTATTTCTAATTTCCTGAAAGAATTACACGAAAATTTGAAGTTCGATCGCGATCGACTTTAAGAATTAAATCCAGTTTACACGTTCGCAATTAACACGCCTGAAGGTTAAGATCAATCATTTGAGTTTCCTCGAGTTAACCTTTAGTTTATAAATAAATTATTATAATTAAGTTATACATTTTTCAGGAGAAGTGACGTTAATTTTCCTTTTACCTGTTGAAGAAAAATTCTTTTGCCTCCTCCGCCTCCTTAATATTCGAAACCATATATTAAGCTTCATTTACATTCACCGCTAAAAGACATTGAACGTATATACATACATATATACGCTCTCTTCCGTGTTGTGTCATCGTGTTTTTATTTTTGTCAATCGCTTTTAGGTAAACATAAATTAATTTCAAAACATAAAATATCTTTTGTTAATACGTGTCATTTCTTGCTGATCTCTGTATCAGGAACGTACGCGAGATTAATGTGAAATAATTATTGATTTTTCTCTTTGCGCGAGCACACGAATTTGGGAGGAATTAATTTGGTACGCAAATCAGATGACTGATTATTTTAGGCCTTGATAAAAATTCCGATAAAAATATTGTCGAGATCTTTTAATAGATATACCAGACGTTTCGACTCTCGTTTTTAATATAGTAGACACGAATTACTATACGAACGCGAACAGCTATTTTACGAGGTAACGAATGAACCGTCCTCTCAGCATTTTATTATTTTTCCAAGGAAGTTGATAACTTGGATGATCCGTTAACACGATCACCGACACGGTGAACTAGACCGCGACTTGCACTGCATCTTGCAATATTAATTATTATTTTCTAGCTCATTTTCGAGGTAAAAATTTCAAAGGAAATTGTATTGTTATTAAATTGTCTAGTTGATATGTAGAAATAAAGTGAAAATTAATAACAGGAAGAAAAGATGTCAAAGTCGTATTAACGATACTTACGGTTTTAATCAATAATTAACACGTCTTTAGCACAAGCACATGAATTAATTAAAGTCCATTTAATCGATTACTCGTCGAAATTGAACACCAACTTTTGCCGATTGAAAATTTTTGAACGATTTGGAAGGATCACGGAACCGAGAGATCGCTAACGCGCCAGCTCGATGACACCGCGCGAACGAGAATGCGAATCGCGTCGCGAGTTCTTGAAAGAAGCACGCGTTCCTCCGATATACCCCGCTCGAATCCGCCTGGACTAGCTCGCAAGTTGCAGCTCCCGCTCGTTATCCACCCTACGGACGATCGTCGATGATCTTCTACTATCCTTACTCGACCACTAAAGCCGGTTCTGAATCTCGTTCATTGCCCCGCGTCTTTATTATATCCTTGTCCTTCGCCTCCCTTTTTTCCTTTATCGTCATTGCAGACTGCTGCTATTTCTGGATGCAAGAATTCAACCTGTAGATCCTTAAAGGTTCACCCGTCCTTAAAGTTTGCGAGACAAAAAATTTAGTTCATTAGTCGATTAATGAAAATCTGATCAAAAGTCCAGTAAAAAAAAGAAGAAAGTTTAATAACATATACGCGTGAGGAAAAGTCATTTCCAGTTATCAGCGGGTTAAGCAGCTCTGACTTTGCTTATCATTTAATACGGTTTGATAACAATTTTTGTGATTCGATACACGTGATTGTAATTTCATTAAAATATCTTCGAATCTTGATTGATTGATTTCAACTGTTCAAAGTGTCTTTGTTATTTAATTTCAACTGAAAGCAATTGATATAAGGCATTAATAATTTACCAGGAAAATATCGGTCTTCTCGAATCGTAAAATTTCAGTGCAATTCTTTTTAATCGTCTCGTAAAATGAATACATGAATAGAGAATAGGTATGTTAACTCTCGCGTATTAACTTCTTGTACAAATACGAGAATTTATAGAGAAAAAACTGACCAGCTCCAAAGATGTAAAGATGCAAAAGTTGATCTATCAGTGGGTTCTTTCCTCGTTACGTTCATCATTCATGTCGAATATTATTGCAATCCACTTTTTATTTGTACGTAATTTTAACAAATGGTTAGGCAATTATACAAAGAAATAGCTGAAGTTCTTCGAAACTTCTGAGAATGCATGCCAGTGTAAAGTTCACTATAAAAGTTGATGGTAATTAATTATACCTACTCATTTAGCATATAAATTACCCTTTGACAAAAACTATGTCAGAAGTGATTAAATGTAGAAATGATTAAAAGCAGAAAAGAAACTGTTGAATATCACTAAAATTGCATGAAATAAAAAATGAATTCCATTGTGTCGAATGATTATTTCTTCATATTTTTGGTACATGCCTAATAAATGTCTCATTTAAATGATGCTCTTACAACCGCCCACACACGTCGTTCCTTTACGATCCTACACGTACGCATGCAAATGCGTGCATTTCGTTTTTTTTCACAAAAATTCCCGCTTTTCCTCCTGTTTTCCTCTTTCACAACGCATGATGCACTAAGGACACGCAATTTCGTCGCAATTCAATCTTTTCTTCTTCTCTTGTATTCTTTTCGCTTTTGATTCGAATCATTATCACTTCTTCGCTCGTTTCCGAACCGGTTTCTAATGAATTGCGACCTTTCAATTCAGTCAAGCCCATCTCGATAAAAAAAATCTGAATTCAATCATCCCGGAAGCGAAGAACAGATGTTCAGGTTAACAAGATTTCGAGAAAGAAATTTTATTCTCCTTTTGTTTCACGAGGCCCGTGGACGATCCTTTGGTTAATTTATAATAAAATGTCGAGCGCAATTATGCAACAGGTAAAATTAATTTATTCAGGAACTCGTGTCGTAAATGATAAGACGGACTTCCGTGCCTATTTCAGTCTAACGATAGATCTTTTTGTCTACGACCAGTCGAGAATATTCTAAGCGAGCAACAACGATTTTGTTTCTCTTTCCTTCCTATTTCGCAAGAAAAACAAGTTTACCTGTCACCCGCCAGGACAGGCTCACCTTCGCCGATTAAAACCTCTTGGATAAGAGAAGATTTAAACGGATATCGTCGAAATGGTAATTTCCTCTAAACTGGATTAATTCCATGACATCAACGGACGTTTTTTGGCAGCACACTTATTAAGTTCAAGTATACGATGATTCGAGCAACAATTCTTCCAGATGATTCTCGTTCTTGGTAAATAAAACTTGAATACTGCAGAAATTTCCACGAGTAGTTTTATCGATATAAATAGAAATGTTAAAATTACATGGGATGTAGTGTCATAAATTAAGACCGACATTGAACATCTGCTGAATTTAGGAACCGTGTTTCCACGTGTTGAGTCTTATCTTTTAATCTGTTTAATTCAAAATATACCTACGACGATTTAATCAGTTTTGTTCAACTATAAAATTACAGGCTTAAGTTTAAAAGTATGATTTGCATAAAACAACGTCGTTTGACTGGAAAATTAATTTGCCAGCAGCCTTGTTATTTTTGATCATCGTTGGTTTTGCGTAGTGTCCAGCTGTTTCTGGATGACTGACTCGACATTCTATTACACATTAATGATTTTAACAATGTTTGACTTTGCATTTTATTGTTTATTCTGTTGACCTCAAGGGGGCTCCTATTGTCTTCTGCTCTTTTGTTGAACTTTGCTATTCCACCTCCGACCTTTGCGTCGATAGAGTATGTTGTAAAGAAAGCAAATAAATGGATCATATGTAGTTATTATATAATTTAGAATTTTTCCTTCCTTCACGTGAAATAGATATAAAAAGGAATATCAAATTACAGTCATATATCTTTGACGCCACTCTATGTACAAGGAGATGCAGAAGGAAAATCAAACCACCATTCATTGTTAATATTACTTTTATTCAAATTCAGTAGTCGGTTTGCGATTACAGGCTTCGATCATTACTCGCTTGATTCCTTTTATTACAGGTATATCCTTGAATTTCCATTCACTTATTCATTTATTTGAAAAAAGAGGGAAAGAGCATGATATCGCGGTCAACGAGATCGATCAATGTTCCTTCATAATTTTTCCTTTTTTGTGAGAGAAAAAGAGAAAGAAAATGAAGAACGATTTGTACAAGTACGATCTGAAGAATTGATCGAGTGCCACAACAAATTTGTAATCTTTGTTTGCGAGTTAAAGTGGTTTTTGCATTTTATGAACTTTGTCCACGATTAGTGAACGCTAACTTAAAGGATTTAGAATAGGAATTCTTAACATCTTAATTTTTACAATATTAATATTATAAATAATTTAGAAAAAAATAACAATTTTTAGAATAAAAATAAGAGAAATAAGAATAAGCGCATAAATATCAATTCAAATTTCTTCGCGCAAATATTTGTATGCGAGTGGTGGCGGACCATAGACCTATATGTATATACAGGGCTCTTTTCTGTATCGTCATTCTCTCCAGAAACGTCTAAGGAGAAGGTCGCGAATCCCAGACGTCATCGTATAATTATCCTCCTTTCTTAATTATTTCTTTAACTTCCTTCAGTAATTTCTTATTTATTTATTCGGTTTATTTAACTTTTCTTTTTGACTTTCCTTCATTCTTACATAAAATTTTCTGTCATCCACGCACATAATTCTCGTTAATATTCCTCCATTCTCGTACATACGTTCGTTTACTTTTCTTTCATTCTCGCACATACATTCTCTTACTTTTCCTCCATTCACGCACATAATTTCCATTACTTCCGCTTCTTCCTTGCACATAATTTCCCTTCATCCTTACATATAATTCCCCACCATTCTTGCACATAATTTTCGTTCATTCTCGCAAATAATTCTTTGCCAAAGATGGGCACTTGCGTGCCAGGCATGGAGGGCTCCGAGGTAATACACATAAGGTCCAGGAACTCTCTTTTAGCGCCAGTGTTGGCCGCCGTGGGGTTTTAGTCAGTAAGAATCTGACACTCCCCTGCCGCCCTCCCCCAGAGGACGGTGGGGGGTCTTATGCAAGATTTCCCCACGTTAAACAAAAAAAAAAAAAAAAATGTTTACAGCCATTGATTCGAGTAAAGATAGCTGGCCGCGGCGGCGAAGAGGAACGTCATGGCTGATTGGGCACTGTTATAACCCAAGACCAAAGTAAACCACGCTCAGTAGTATAGCGACCGCCGAGGGGTGCGGATCTACCTGGTAAACATACATATACTTACAATTTATATCACTGCATCCCTTACATCTTTGCATCCCTTATGTCCCTGCGTTCCTTATATCCCCGTACTTCTTACATGTCTGCTTTCTTTAAATCTGTGCATTCCTTACATCTCTGCACCCATTATAGCCCTACTTCTTTTAAATCCCCGCATTCCATTAATCCTTGCTGTCCTTATATACCCACAATTCTTACACCCTTTCTTTCTTTATCCTTTACACCATTATATTCCTTACACCCTTCACATCTCGCTATCACTTAAATGTCTGTTCCTCTTACATCCCTTTATCATTTATCATTATATCCCTTTACATTCTTTTCATCCCTACATTCCTTTCATCTCTACATTATTTTCATCCCTACATACCTTACATCTCTTCATCCCTTAAATCCCTACATTATTATCATCCCTACATTCCTTACATCTCTTCATCCCTTACATCCATACATTGTTTTCATTCCTACATTCCTTTCATCCCTACATTCTCTTCATCCCTACATTCCTTACATCTCTGCATCTCTTATAATAAATATATTATAAAGACTGCTTCGAGTAAAGGTAAGTAAAGGTAAGTTAATTCCTATTTTCGCGAAAATTTCGAAAAAACAGCGCCCCCTAGCGGCAAAAATGTTAACTAAAATTTCAATGTCGAATCAGCGCCATCTGGTTTCAGAAAAAGGAACTAAAGCTTGCTAAAATTTTGGCCCTCTAGCGGGAAAAATGCGAACTAAATTTTCGATGTCCAATCAGCGCCATCTGGTTTCAGAAAAAGGAACTAAAGCTTGCTAAAATTTTGGCCCTCTAGCGGGAAAAATGCGAACTAAATTTTCGATGTCGAATCAGCGCCATCTGGTTTCAGAAAACGGAACTAAAGCTTGCTAACATTTTGGCCCTCTAGCGGGAAAAATGCGAACTAAATTTTCGATGTCGAATCAGCGCCATCTGGTTTCAGAAAAAGGAACTAAAGCTTGCTAACATTTTGGCCCTCTATCGGCAAAAATGTGAACTAAATTTTCGGCGTCGAATCAGCGCCCCCTGGCGGACAAAATTTGAACTAAATTTTGCAGGATTTTTTCCATGTGGTGCAGGGATGTAAGGAATGCAAAGATGTAAGGGGTTCAGGGATATAAGGAAAGCAGGAATGTAGGGGATGAAGGGATGTAATGGATTCATGGATGTAAGGGATTCAGGGATGTAAGGGATGTAGGGATGTAAGGGATGTAGGGATGTAAGGGATGTAGGGTTGTAAGGAATGCAGAGATGTAAGGGGTTCTGGGATACAAGGAAAGCAGGAAATAAGGGGATGAAGGGATGTAAGGGGTGCAGGGATGTAAGGGATGCAGCGATGTAAGGGATGTAGAGATGTAAGGGGTGCAGAGATATAAGGGATTCTGGGATATAAAGAAAGCAGGAATATAGGGGATGAAGCGATGTAAGGGGTGCAGGGATGTAAGGAGTTCTGGGATATAAAGAAAGCAGGAATATAGGGGATGAAGGGATGTAATGGGTGCAGGGATGTAAGGGATGCAGTGATGTAAGGGTAGCAGCGATGTAAGGGATATAGGGATGTAAGGATCGCTTGGATGTAAGGGTGCAAACATGTAAAGGGTGTAAGGATTTAAAGAAAGCAAGGATGTAAAGAATACAGGGATGGAAGGCATTATGGCATCTGGGTTAACAGGAACCCCGAAACGCTGATGATGGTCTCTGGATACTGACCTGAAATCGTCATGGGGTGTTAGGGACCCCGAAGTACCGGTGGTGCTCTTTACATACCGACATTATGGCATCCGGGGTATTAGGGACCCCGAAGTGCCGGTGATGGTCTCTGGATACCGACCTGAAATGGTCATGGGGTGTTAGAGACCCCGAAGTATCGGTGGTGCTCTTTACATACCGGCATTATGGCAACCGGGGTGTTGGGGACCCCGCAGTATCGGTGGTGCTCTTTACATACCGGCATTATGGCAACCGGGGTGTTGGGGACCCCGCAGTGCCGGTGATGGTCTCTGGATATCGATCTGATATCGACATGGGGTGTTAGGGACCCCGAAGTACTGGTGATGCTCTTTACATACCGACATTATGGCATCCGGGGTATTAGGGACCCCGAAGTGCCGGTAATGGTCTCTGGATACCGACCTGAAGTGCACATGGGGTGTTAAGGACCCCGAAGTATCGGTGGTGCTCTTTACATACCGGCATTATGGCAACGGGGGTGTTGGGGACCCCGAAGTGCCGGTGATAGTCTCTGAATATCGATCTGATATCGACATGGGGTGTTAGGGACCCCGAAATACCGGTGGTGCTCTTTACATACCGACATTATGGCATCGGGGTATTAGGGACCCCTAGGTGCTGGTGATGGTCTCTGGATACTGACCTGATGTGGTCATGGGGTGTTAGGGACCCCGAAGTACCGGCGGTGTTCTTTGTATACAGCCATTTTGGCATCCGGGGTGTCAGGGACCCCTATTGCATTAGCAATAGATGACGCCGATAAAGCACGCGACAATTATAACGACAAGTGAAATATAAGATCGAATAGTAAAATATAAGAGCTAAAAAGGAACAAATCGTGAAACAGGGAGTTCAAGATAGTGCATATGACCTATTATAGTGAAAGATTAGATCTAGAAAGAGTATAAAACATTGAAAGAAGGAAATATAAGAATATACCTAAACGCATTTCTACTTATCTGTGACTTGGATATACTTGAAAATCTAGAAGAAAATATAATAAGATACTTACCTGAGTTTGCATATCGACATTATGGCATCAGGGGTGTCAGGGACCCCGAAGTTAAAATGACTTTCTATAGAAAAGACTTTTTATAGAAAAAGTTGAAACCTCTGTAACTTTTGACTGAGGCCACTTAGCCGCACAAACGCAACGGTTTTGAGCTAATCTCAGCGAGACCTTTCTAACGACGTATAAATCGTAACCCTAACCCTAGTAGTTCTCAAGTTGAAAAGTGACACGGACGGTGTTTACGCTGTATATATATAACATGATTTTAATGTAAATTATGATTCAGATTATTATTCACTATAAATTATGCATTCAGATTATTATTTACTAATAATTAATGAAACGAAAACTTTCTTAAGCACAGCTGTAGTAATTAAATAATTACTACTAATAAAAATTTATATCTTTTATACATATATGTGTATATTTTATTTACTTCTTCTTTTAATTTTTTTCTAATTAAATTTGTCTAAATTATGAAATTATTTAATTTGTTTAATTTAATTACAGAATTAAATCACCCGGAAAAGGTAGTCCCAACTTCGACCATCGCGCCGACGGAGATTACTTGACAAATTACCAGCCGATTTTCCGGAACTAGTATAGTGGACATTGAGGTTGGTAAAGAAGGGAGATCGATAAGGAAGGTCGCCGCTGTTAATCAAGAAGATATCACTTCGACCAAGAATCAACCATTCATAATTTACTCAATTCATATTTATTCAACTTTATCTAACAAAATAATTATAAATAAAATATTTGTAAAGTCGAATTCAATAAATGAATTTACAATTATTTCCTCTAAAGATTAATTACTAATAACCATACGTACCCACAGTCGGTAAAATAGTATAAACACTACTTGTCGATAAGCCTTGACTATAGGAAGCATGATTGATAAGTTATCGAGTCGGTAACTCGATAGATAAGAAGACAAGTGGTGTTCATTATTTTTTAATAAATGTCGCTAGAGGTTTTTGCAATTAAATTGTAATTAACATTTTAATTTGTGCACTAATCGTAAAATGTAAAAATAAATAAAACCTGACAAATTCCGAAGATGAAAATCGTAAGTGTATACAAGAGAGGAACAAGACCAAGGTCTTACCTCTTCGATGTCCAAGGACAGACTGACGCGAAGTGAGCGAGTTTGCGAGTTAAATAGGGATCATTGACTTTGAATTATATCGAATTCCATGAAATAACAACCCCACTTAATTTGAAAAAAAATAGTAGTCATTTGTTATATTATTGATGGTGTGTATACGTTATTCACAATTTAATTGCAAAATCAAATATAAAGTACATACAAATTTTTAGCTTCCTGCCTGTTGCATTTGAGCTCTATACATATCTGGCTTAAAAAAAATGTTATTAACATAAATTTGCATCTAATGCGCAAATGACAAAGGAAACGTCAAAATTCTAAGTACACAAGAAGTAATTACGTGACATAGAAGGTACATTCAGCTATTGTTCTATGCAGCATCGTTTTATTACTTCTACATTACTGCATCGTTACATCGTCGAGCAAAATATTGTTACAAGTACGTTCTAATTCCCTTGCACTTTGAATTGCACGTCCTTATAAATTCACGTGGTTCGTGGAGGTAAAAGGAGCGAGTGGTTTTAAGGTACCTCTATGAAATAAGTATCTGAATTGATATACAAAAAAGATCGTAATTATTGCAAATTATTAAAAATTTTTACAAACTATACCTATTGTAATTTTAATTTAAAGAAAGAGAAAGTATTGTCATTAAAACTGAAATTTTTGTTCACAAAATTTACATAAATATTACTCCGCAGCTGTTAAAAAATATTGAACAAATTATATGCCGGAAGAAATATCGAAGTTTCTTCTTTAAAATGAATTTTGTTGGGCGTCGATGCGACTTTCCATTGCGGAGGAATTGCCGCTCGAAGCTATCCCTAATTTTAAAAAACTAGTTTGATTTGTCGCAGACTCGAATCTGTCACTACTATTCACTGACCTGCCCTATGTCCATTCAGTCGCGGTCACTACTGGCGCTGAGAAACCGGTTTTTTCTACTACGGCGCGGGTACGCAATTCCAGGGAAAAAAGTCGGTCAGGGCGCTTCTTGGAATTTCGGCCATTCATAAATTTTAAAAATCCTATGTTATTCTTTAAAGCCCTGTGTCTCAGGAACCGCTGAGCGTATCAACTTGAATCCAAATGCGTTTTCAAGTGCAACTTCTGCTCTATCTCGTCACCTAACTGTCGTTAAAAATTGACTAATTTTTCACAAAGTTATTCTATAGGACTTTATGGAAAATAGAAGCTATCAAGAAATCTAAGCACTTCACTTCGTCCCCTGTAATTAATAAATAGTATTTTCTTAATCGATACGCTGGGAATACAGATTCCTGCTTCGAAGCTTACTTCGCGACCAATGGTAAAAGCTTCGAAGAGAGAGAGTTGAAATTTAGAAGGAGAAGCTTCTTGTTTTTATCAGGGGTTGTTAATACGTGACTTTATCAAGGTTTAAGTCTCGCTATTTAGATTTTAATTCTACTGGAAATCTATTCAATATAACTCGTTTAAAATAGCTACCATTCTGATTGCTCCAATCAAATTCTATCTACTTTAACATTAATTGAGTTTAATAGACCTTCGTAGAAGTAATGAAAATCCCTCGAGGAATCGCTTTATTTCAATGGACGAAAGAGGTAGAAGAAGTATTTATCGATCCTAGGGTTTTCTTTCTTCTCACCCTGGAGGCCAAAGCCTTAGCTCGTTTACGCTGGTGGGTGGATGGAGAAGGAATTAAAGATGGCGGTACTTTTTCCATTGTTTTAACCCCTCGGAGTGAGTCTCTCAACAACCCTCGGTCTTCTTAAGACCGCGCTGGTGGGGCGAAAAATGGCTGGAAATATTTTCGATGGATATCGAAGTGGGGGTGAGTACCCTCGTCCACTCCCCTGAACCAGTTCGAACCGTTGAACGATGGCAGCGGCCAGTTGAAATGTCTGCCATTATGTCTGTAAATAGAAAGAAAGAAATTAGTTATATATTTAGACGGTATAATAGTAAGTAATTCATGAATGAAAATAGAAATAACCATGCCCAGTATGAAGATAGATCTTCTAATCTAATTTTTCTAATGTTAGGGGCATCTAAAATTTTCCTTCCTGTTTCATTATTTAACAATACGGATCACTAAACACATTAATTTTCTAATCTAACACTTCTAAAAGTGTTCCCCCCTATTAATATTTGGATTTATTAAAAATTCTAAGTTAAACTAATTCTACACTTTTCTGATGAGAGCTCGTCGAGCTACTGTCTCTATCTCGAAACCACCCGTACGCTTATACCTTCCCATTCCTCAGCCGAAATTCCCTCTTCCTCTTTTTTCTGCGATTGCACGAAGCTAGCTGGCTATTGACCGACCAGCATCATAGTATTTTCCTCGAAGCTTTCTCGAGAAAGCTCGCCTTTGTTTTTATTGCTCGAACGCGGAAGGCGGCGAGGCAGCCGTACGTAAAGGATGGAAAAAGAAGATTCCGCGAGCAAAGAGAGCGAGAGACGGTGAGAAGGAACGAAGGGAATGGGTAAATTGGAGAGGAAAAGCAAATGAGGCTCGATGCTCCGTAGCTGAAAGGATGAGGCCAGTTACGCGAATGGTATGCAAGAAATCGCCAGTCGTTTTCTGTTTTTCCCTTTCGTAACGAGATACTTTTACCTTCCTGCAAAAACTCGTCGGGCATGTACCGCGGCTTTTAAAAGAAACCGATCGAAAATGAAAGGAACCCTCGCGATCGAACACGTTCGACCTTATACATCCGTGTCTTTTGAATCTTTTCAAATCTTCCACGCCGTCTAGCCTTCAAACGACCGACGTTTCAATTCCTCCTAGCTGTTTCACGATTTTAAAAGGTTAGCCGAGACTGTCGGAAGTTCTGGCAACAATCGGACGCTTCGAAATTAATGCTCTGGAGAGAATTCACACTGCAGACACTCGCGGGACGCACAGATACATTAATTACGCGCGTTAAGCGGCCGTCTGGTGATTAAACGCAACCCTCGAAAGGAGCAGACAACACTGAAGCCGAGTACGCCGCGAGTACGGTATAAATATGCGTATGCGTAACGCGCGTCCTATGACCTTACAAACGCGTTCAACCGGTATGCAAAACACGAACCGCTGACCATCGTCCCTTGAAAAAGACCCACTTCCGAAAATCTTTGCCGAGGGTTGAATTTCGAGCAGCTGCTGCTTCGCCCCTCTTTCACCCCTTGCCCATAATCCCTGTCCATGATCTCTGCGTTTTCCTGGCCGGATAGAATTAACTTTGGATAAAATTTACCAACAGTTAACCCCGTGGATAAACGACGTTACTTGAGAATCATACGAAACCCTTTGTAAATGTAATCGTTTCGGGTTCGAATTTTTATACGTATTTTTCTGAATGATTTTAACGATGTAGCGACAAAGTAATTGGAAGTTACACGAGACAGGACATAAAATTATAGAGGGTACTGGGTGGGGGATGATACGAGGTCAGCAAGCGCGACAGTTTATTGATTTAATTGCACGGCAATTAGTTGGCCGTTTGTCGTTAAATTTCAACCGGAACGAGGGAATCGTCGATTCGCTTATTTAACTAATGATTAATAGTAGCCAGTTTTATCTGCAGCTAACAAATGACGCTAATGGGTAACCAGAAATGCCATAGCCACGAAATATCGAGCAGCACCGCGTCGACATTAGCGGTTACTCGCGCGAATCCCCGCAACTTCGATGCTCCTTCATTCAGTGCCGATCGAGATAGTTTTTCAATTTTCACGGACGATTGGTCACCCTCCGTTCGCAATTTTCCCGTCGCTTGGCTTTTCGATTATCCGCCGATCGCGTTGAAACGACCACGCTGAACTAACGCGTCGAAAATCATCCACGATTCGTCTTACCTCGCTCGATTATGCTGATTGCTCTCGCAAATGAGCGTTTCCCCGACTGTATACCAATCCAGTCAACCCATTATATAATTCTAATTTTTAAAACGGGGGAATAATCTCGGGAAAGAACAATAGACAGAAAAAGAAGGATGAAAAACACAAGAGAATCACGTTGGATAAATTGCGACGCGATAAGAAAAGGCGAGCAGCAAAAACAAAAGGTGATGGCTAGATTGCGAAAATAATAAAGACTTTTTGATTCTACTATAAATTTAAGAGGCTTTGTCTTCGAGACGGGAACATCCAATCGTTGCGACTACATCATTTTTCTTTTCTAAGGGATGAATTGTTTCTCGAGAGACTGTTAATTCGTGGAAGGAAGGTTAGTGGGGCAGGAGAACGAAGGGTTAGCACAAGGGGTTGGGGACGGAAGACTACCGGCTTGAAAACTCGTGTATCGTTAAACAGGTTTCGGACACCCGGAAACCCTTTGGTCAGCTCTTTTTTCGAGCGTCTCTAACCCTTTTTCAGGGCTGTCCAAAATGAGATCCTTTTGCTTTCGGACTTGTGTACACTTAGTGATAAAATTCGAAGGAAGAAACGGTTCTAATTATATTAGAATTTCTTAAGTGCGTTAATTATGAAAGAGAAATATGGGGTCTTGAAGTTATATGGGTCACCTATAATAGGAAAAATGTTGAAACTGTGCATACCGAAATTTGATAAGTAAAACAAAATTGTCGAGAACGCTAGGAAAATTTCAACGAAGCTCGGACGTTCTTAATTAAAGAAAAGTCGAGGATCATTAAACGAGAAACCACCCTCGCGAGTGTAGGGCAGCATATAGATGCCGTTGATCGCGGGACCACTAAAAACTCCAACGTTTTAAACGTCGTTCGGCTCTTTTACGCGCTTGTAAAAAGTACCGGGCAGGGTGATAAAGAATGACCCTGCGGGGTGGCCTCGTAAATTCGGTGAAAATACAAAGGACCCTGGCCTAGTCGTAAAAAGGGGCGTCTAAAAATCTTTAAACTCTCCTCAAAGATTATCCATTCCTTTCTCTCTCCCTTCACCATTTTTCTCCAACGAAAGGAGAGAGAGAGAGAGAAATTAAAGATCCACCCCTTATAACCGTAGGCTCCCCACCAACGAGGTCATCCCCTCCTTTCTTTCGTTTCTTTCCCAGCTTTTTCCTCGTTTCGAGGAGCGTAGAAAACCACCCCGGCGGAGGAGTCTGAAAGAAGAAAGGAGTAGGAGCGTGGAGGGTGGCGGAGGGTTAGAAAGGCAGGAAGAAAGAGCGAGGGAACCTCTTGTCGGCCACCTTCGCCGTTCCAGTATTTCAGATAAGAATAAAGTAAACGGCGAATGGGGTTGTTGGAGGGGTGGCTGCAATAACGGCCAGGCTGGGGTGACGGCGATGGGGGAGGGTGATGCTACTCCGACTGGGCCGTATCAAAGCGAAAGGGGTGAAGCAAAAAGTACGACGATCGATGCTACCGGCCACACGGAATACAATGAAGACGCTGCGCGTTACTTTTCATCTTTGCTCCTTGCTTTCTCTTTTGAAATCGGATCTTTCACAATTTTCATCGAGTTCCCGCGATACCATGCAATTATCGAGCTATTGTACGGCTTGCTTTATTGCAATCACTTTACGAAAATGAAGCACCATTTTTATACAGAGCGTATAGATACCGTGGCTTTAATTTCCTACTAATTATTTCTGAACGCAAAAAGGTCAGCTCGTGTCTACTAGCCGCCATTCAATGAGCTGTTAACACGTTTACAGCTGCGAGTGCCCGTAAGAAAAACTACAGCCGCCTAAACGACATCCCCTTTGTTCGTTGTTCGGTAATAGCCCCGTACAAACAATATTTCCTCGACGAGAAGTTCGTGTTTTAATACTCGTTAGAAGTTCGCTACAATTTTCCTCGGTGTTAACTGAAAAACGACGATCGTTACCCCTTTTTTCACCGCCCGTCCGTTCAGCAGCCTGTCTTCGGGGCGAGCTCGAGCGTAATAGAGGCGAATGGGGCGGCGGGATGAATTTCCTAATTAAAACTCGCGGGAAACTATTTAAAACTTAAAAAGGAACCAGGCTAGACCCAAAGCAACCCCGGGCCCCATTATCGCCCTCGCCACGAGTAACTTTGGCAAATTATAAATTTCATCGGACTCGACTCACCCCTTCTTCCGCGAACCAACCCACTCTTCTAGCTTGTTTTATTTTTCTTCGTCTCTTCGCTACCTCCTCGTCCCTCTTCTTTTTCGTTTCGTACCGGGAAAATTGCGGCTCACCAGTGAATTTCCTCTTTGCAAATTGCTTTAATACACCGTTTCTTTTCTTCTTAGGGGTAATTTATACGTTTTACCCCGTTTCAATATGAAATCCCTTTTGATACGTAACGCCTGAAATCGAGAGGATTAAATTAAAGAGGGAGTGGTTCGTGAAAAACTCGTGGCTGGTGCAATTAATCGCATCAAGGGTTTACGTTTCGCTCGCTCGTTTTCTGGGAAATGCAGAATCCAGGAAATACCTCGAACCCACCCTTCTCTTATTGTTCTTTTTATTTCCAGGAACGCTTGCATCCCTTTTAGAGACTTACTTTAACTGCCTTTAACGTGGCGGGCAATTAGAAGCGGCGCCTTTTAAGCCGGGTCATAGATTTTTCCGCGCAGCTACCTCGCTTAAAGCACGGAAATTTAAGGGCAGTTTACAAGCCACTTGATGCATGTGGTCGAAAATGCATTCAATTTCCTCGCCGCTTTCTCATCGACTATCTTTTAAAGTAATTATACAATTCATTTTTCTTTAATTAATTCATTAATAATCACCTAAAATTGTTGATGAGTATCTAGACAGAATTTTTGCTCCACACTGTTCGATCATTTTAGGGGTAGTTCTCGAGGGGTGAGTTTTGGAGAATAGAAAAGGCAACTGCATTATCGGCTTTGGAAACTATACACCCTGCCATCTGCGTTCTTTCTAGGAACTATGCATACAGTTTTCTCTCCGTCGATCAGGGAAAAAGCTTTTCCTCCAGTTGAAAAGCTCTGATAAAGAGTAGAAGACAGAGGGCGG